TCAATAATATTCAACCCTTGTCATGCATGGTCAGTCCCTTGTTACCTATTGTCTTGTTATAAGTCTGTTGCAAAAGTTGTAGATTGCTGCAAATGATGGGAAGGTATGAAAGCTAGGGCACAGATCGACAATGAAACACAAACACAAAGCCTAGAAGCATGATGTTGGTCAGAGTAAACCAAGTAAGGATGAGTTTCTATATATCTGTTGCAAACTCTGAGACTTAAACTTCAACTCATGCCTCTACAAACCTATGTGTGCTTCATCCTCTGTTAGCAAGAAAAAGCTTGCCAGCACTGGCACAATTCAGAAATAATTGAAACCATAAATTTAGTGTGATAGCCACATATGTATGATAGTGAAAGAGCAACTATGGCATTTGTCCCTGACCAAATAGCAGACAGGAGTGTTGGTAAACAAGCAACAAGATGACACCTAAAACTCCCATGAAAGGCCTCATTAAATGGAAAAGAATAATTAATTATAATCATGATAACTGGAGGGTACCAACTTCCTAATACAATCCAAAAAGCAGCTAAAAATGACAGGGAGCTGAATAAAGTTAGATGAATTAAATTTGCATAGCAGATGTACAGTATGGCTAACATACACACTAGCTGAACACATTACTTAGCAAAATAAAGAATTATTGAAATTTTTAACAATCTTTGAAGATCAAATGTTGTAAACTGATTGGTCATTTTAGGAGTGACATTTTGGCTACAAGAGAAAGTTGGTTAGTTAGTGTGTATTGATTGGTCAGTTTTCATGCATCAGCAATATTTAGTTGCACATCCTACACCCCTTAAATAAGTACATTACCCACAAACCCATCACTGTACTATGTCAGTTGCTAACCAGTGTCAAGACAGTGACAAATAGTAGAACAAACAAGGGGCAGTTTATAAGATAAAGTGCTCTGATTGCCTACCCTCTGACATTGCAGAGACTAACAGCAACCTCACAACAAGACTGGCAAAAGAGTGATAGAAATAATTATATCAACAATCCATTCGTTGAACATCAACAACTTATAAGCCATACAATTTAATGGGACTCTGCATCATGCCTAACCTACAGTGTACTGCAATAACTATTTCAACCACTGACTCTGAAAAGCTGGTTCACTAACTGATAACTGAGAACAGAATTCCCTCCAGTCAGCTTTCAAAACCTACCAGCACCATTCAAACGACTCATTCACGACATTTACACCAAAAATGAAACAGGAAAAAAATGATCTCAACCGGACGATCACACTACTTGATCAAACTTAACAGTTTTGTGCCCTTTTGATTTTAAGTTACAGTACTATAGTCCTGCATGAACATGTTACGTTCTTGCACGGCAAAAATGCAAAAAAATGGCGGAAAGGACTCGAGGTCACAGGCCGATAGAAATGCTAGAGCTTTCTAAAGAAGCTTTCTCATCTTCTCTTCTTTTTCCCTTTCATTATATTAGCAACCGTGTATGTATTTTTCATATCCATCCCTTCGTAAGGTGTCGATTCTAGCAGACAATTATCTAACGACAGCAAATCATTGAAAACCTACCACACTCTTTCCGATGGATCTGCTCATTGCTTTGCGTGCTGCCAAAAACAAACTTAGGTCGAATGCTGATGGAGGAGGAACTACCGAACCATAGTTTCAAACCTACGTGGACTTCGTGATACAGCTGACCACGATGTATATACGTCATGTAGTAGAATACATTCCGTAACGTCCACTTGTCCGATAAGTGAAGACGGTGAATCAGGACTACGGACTACGGACTACGGACTTAGTATAAGGCGGCCACTGAGTATTTTTATTTTCCGCTGCATATTTCTTATCAAATGACGGTCTGTTATGCGATGGATACACTTTTACTACCTTTCTACACAGAGTTGAGATATTTCTCTGTCAAGCTTTTCGAAAAAAAGTTAACGATAATGATAATGATAACGACAATGATAAGGAATTTATATAGCGCTAAAACTACAAACAATATCCAGAAGCGCTTTACATAAGTTAAAGTTCTATACTAATAAAAATTTAAATATTCAAAGGCAATAAACATTAGAACTATTGAAACAAACTAAAAGCTTTCCTAAATAAAAATATTTTAAGTTGCTTTTTAAAAATGGCGAGGCTACTACTTGTTCTTACAGTTAATGGCAGCGAATTCCATAAAACACGTGCAGCATGACTAAAGGCCCGATCCCCAAGTTAAGAGCAGTTGACTTTTGAAACGAACAGAAGAGATTGAGCAGACGAGCGAAGAGTATGATTAGTAGCTGGTTTCAGGGACAAAAGATCTTTAATGTAGGGAGGACTTTGGTTGTGTAACGACTTGTAAACAAAGAGGAGCAATTTAAACAGAACTCTGAACGTTACTGGGAGCCAATGTAGGTCGATACGTGCAGGTGCGATATGATCAAATTTCGGAATCTGAAAAATCACTCTAGCCACAGCATTCTGAACTCTCTGTAAGTGATCGAGTTGATATTTAGGTAGACCGAAGAGAAGTGCGTTACAGTAATCAGGATACGAGGATATAAAGGCGTGGGCTACTGTCTTAGTCGATTGAACAGTAAGGAATTTTCTGATCTGTCTTATGTTGTATAATCCGCGAAAAGCCTTGCTACAGATCTTGCCTATATGAACGTTCATTCGCATATGGGCATCGAACCAGGACTCAAGGTTCTGGACGCTTTCTAAAGGTTTAATGAGGGTGTCACCAATAATAATAGCTTCAATAGATGTTTTTACAAGTTGTTGGTGAGTGCCAATAATTAGAAACTCAGTTTTTGCGTCATTGTAAACCATTAGCAATAAACCAAGAGCGAACATCAGCAATGCACATCTCAATCGCAGAGACAGCGTTAATTTCGGAATGGATAGAGCAAGGTCGGAAGGAGAGGTAAATCTGGAAATGACAGGAAGGTATGAAAGCTAGGGCACAGATCGACGATGAAACACAAATACAAAGCCTTGAAGTATGATGTTGGTAAGAAAAACCAAGTAAGGATAAAATGGCTTGAAATCGCTAATTTACATGATTTAGGACGAGAACCATAAAAACAACACTTCAGGCAAGGAAAACCCCTCCCAGGCTATGAAACAAAGTATTTTGGAATTCTTAAACTAATGCGAATTTGTTCGTACCCCGACCTTTTTTCCATCACCAGCACTCACTTTCACATTGAAATTTCTGGTGTAGAAATTGAAATTCAAGATTACACTAACTGTATTGACATCTCCTCTTAAGCAGGCTGACTGAGGCAGCACAGTACTCAGGTAATTAATGGAAAAAGCCAAACTCTCACATCTGGCACGATTAGAACAACAATAACAACAGTATGCGGCACCAAAAGGGTCCAGAAGAGAGGTATGTCATCAATTTTGACAAGCTGACAACAGAATCCACATTTTCAGTAAGTTTCAAAGTTGGGGGCTTCAAACGCAATTTAGACAGCTGTAGGAGCAAACGCCGAAGGCATGAGACTCTAGTGGACCAATCATTATTTTATTACAATAAATCAAACCTCTTATAAAGAAAGCCTGAGGCTCACTGATTGCGTAAAACCGCGATTTTGGTTAGACCTCGTGTAAATTACCGGCCCTGAGAGTCTACAGTGAAGATGCATTTCAACCAGTGCATTTGAAAACGGTCTTCCCCATCCCTATCCCATTACGTTCGCATTCGTCAAATACCCCGCGGTGTAAGCAAACTAACCTCATTCTTTATTTACCTTTCAAGACATTTAATTCTACACGTCAGATTTTATATGCGTAGTATAGCCTGCGTGAGAGCAAAGTGCGATCTTTGGAATCTGAGAATAACAATTGCTACCGAGGAAATGTGATAAATCTGGATAAAGACAAAGACCAGGAAACTGCTTCTTTAATCATAGGAGTGGAGTCAAATAACGAGAAAACAACAAACTTTGGTGGAAATTAAAATTCAAAATAGCCTTAGTGTCAAAAAAACGTAGAGAGAGAAAAAACGTCGAGAGAGAGGTATGAGACAACTATTTTTACCTCATGGAACTATCATGAAAATGAATAAAAAGCTGAGCTGTAAAAATAAGTGCTACATCTATAGGAACCTGTGAAATTTTTCATTGTTTGTTTTTTGTTTTGTTTTGTTTTTTTTTTCACTGTGATTTCCCTCATTTGTACTTTCTTTGACTTCTCTGTTTCCTTTGTTCTACTACACACAACGAACACGAGCCAAACTACGTCATCCATCAGGCAGAAGAGGGCTTTATATAAAACCTTTGTCTCAAAATATCACCATTGTGCATGTTGCCTTATTCGAAGTCTTTCTTAAAAAAGAAAATACTTACAATTTCTGTCATTACTAAATAGTTATTGCTGAACAATATGATTTGTTAAAAAAAAAATACCTTCATAAATTATTCTAAATTTCATAATATTTTACCCTTCCTATGAGAAATATAACGAGTGCACAAAATGTCCATTCGAGGCTTCGAAGCTTCAACATCCCAGCCTACCCCTGTGCAACCCATGGGCATTTTACTGTCGTCTGTCACCGCGAGTGGGAAATTTGAACCTTGCCTGGGTTGGGTGAGGAATTTGAACCGCAACTAACAAGTCTTTCCAGCGGAATAAACGAGTTTTATCTTTAAATATGGCGGCAAAGTTCACTTCGCGGGCAAATGGCTCAGAAGACTGAAAAGGTCTACAGAAAGTCACGGTGGCTAATTTTGCCTTTTTCAAAAAAGTAGACTATTAAATCCCGCACTAAGGTAGGGCATTTGAACAAAGTTTTGGCCTGAAGGGGGGGGGGGGGGGGGGGGGGGGGGGGGGGGGGGGGGGGGGGGGGCCGGAAATTTGAACGAGCCAATCTTCAAAAGTCTAATGCCCGGGGGTAGGGAGGAAGATTCTGAATCTTCGAATTGAGCATTACCGCAATCTTCAGTTCACGAAAGTGCTCAAGCATATGGAAATTATGGAAAAAAGCTTAGTAACTAGATATGTAAATATCTTAAAAAAAAAACGCTACCTTCACTATTAGTAACACCTCAAAAAATCGCAAGATAGTTTTTCTAATTGTGATCGATTATTTACAAATTATAAATTATTGTCTTAGCATAACTTAACTTAGGTTGCGAAGGCCGACGCTCAAAACGGCAGTTTTTTTACTCTTTACGGTGGCCAATTAACGATTTCAACTCAGTTGTTAACACCAAATTACCTACTATACTCTCCTACCAACGCAGCACCACAGTTTCTTTAGAAACTTACCCCTTTATTAACTTAGGGTACGCTAACTTTAAGGAGCTCTTTAAAATACATTTACTTAATCTCTTAAAAAACTCTACTCTCTCATTTAAAAATATTTGAGGTATTCAACTATTAGTTTGAAAATAGTTTCTATTTCAATTGATGTAAGTCTTGCTATAATCACCCTTCCATTCCCTGAATTTACTGTCTAAAACCCCAGTCACACCAAAGCTTAATAAACATGATTGATTTAAAATTGTCTTAAATTGTTTTCTTCATAAAAGCGGCTTAGACTGATGTCGGTCGACTTCAAATACACAGGTTAGCTCTCACTTGAATACTAAGGAGAACTCAGTTTTTCATTTCTTTATTCCTGATTTTCATTCAGTCAAACCCAGTTTTACTAAACATGTTTTGTTGGTGTGGTATAAGTCTTACATTCTATTTAAATTGATTATGTAAATTCATTTCGTATATTCTGATATCACTTCTATCAATAATAAGAATTATTTTATAACATAATAAGATGACAGAAAAGGCAGAAACAGCCTAGATGCCCCAGTTCATTATAATGCTCGGCTGTAATGCTTAAATTTTGTAATTTACCGTCGAGTAATTTAGTCAATCCTTGAAACTGGTAATTTTCCCACACCAAGATCAATACTTTGTTTGGTGACGTTGATGCGTTCATAGAGTTCAGAATCTTCGGAAGAGTTTCCTCTCTCATTTGACATATATTGGTAGTCGCAGTGACCATTCGGAAACTAATAATAAAAGGAAGTAAATAAATAATACGAATCAAGGTATTTGGAAAAGATACTTTGCAGGTACTTTGCAGGGCGTGACCACAGCAAAAGCCGGAGAAAAGGGTCGAAGCACGCCGTGTCAAACAGACCCTACGTGAAAAACAGTATACCCTACCAAAGCTATGCAGCTAAATACTCACTCACTAGGGATACTACAACGTTGTTCAGGTGAGGGTGATCAACATGACAGCCACTTAACGGAGATACCCAGTTTCAAGCTCAACTTTTCTTAGAGACATCTGCACGCAAGTTAGATATGGCAAACTACGCCTGTGAACTTTACGCGCATTTTTTCCCTTATTTCATCCACACTAAGTCCTCCCATAAAGATTCCGAAAACGATTTCGCATTTCTAAAACGATTCTAAAACGATTTCACATTTTTTTTTCTAACGCACTGTTCATTGTGTAAAGAAGTGAAAACGGAGTCTTCCGAAAATGTCGACGTCTAATGTCGCTTTAATCTGAGTTTAAGGGTGTTTTGGCGTGGAAGATAGACGAAACGCAGCAAAAATATATGCGTTGTTTTCATATGAAAACTCAGTAATATGGATAGTTGAGAGCAACATGAAAACGTTGGCGTGGGAGAAAATATTTTGTTTCGTTTCGCATGCGACATAAAGGAAAAAACACAGTTTAAAAAACGCATAAGTTTAGTCTGGGCCTAATAATTAAAAAGGTGCTTTCATTAGGCCAAAAACACACTACTCCCCAAAATTGGTTTCCATCAAATTTAAATTGCATTGTATAATTCCTTACCAAGGGTCCTCCAATTGCAGTCCACAAAGAACTTTTTCGAGCACCAACCCTTTAAAGAAAGGGAAAAACATTCATATCACTGAATGAGACTACAATATCTTTGTGAAAAGCTGACGAGAGAAACTACCAGAAGGCATGACCAAAATGGAATGGGCACAAGCAAAAGATACAGAAAGTGCATTACACCTAATCTAATTATTTCAAATCTGGCGCCATCAGTTGGCAAGGTAAGCTTCACCCATGAAACAGATGATTAGGCTGCCAGAAATCTGTTCCTTTCTATCATTTTCCTTCTCAATTTCTTTCTTTTTTATTACTTTTTTCTCACGATATGGAACGATGGTTCTAGATGAGAAAAGATTAAGCAAATATATACACATACCGTTTTCGTTTGCGTAGATAGGCGATAAACACGCACGCGAGGCTTAACCCACCAACTGTTCCACAGACAATAGCAACAACCTTGAGCACTTTATATGTAGATAAGGTGGGATCAGGTTTTTCGGTAACTGAAAATCAAAGAATTCATGTTTAAAGGGTAATCGGCGAAGAAATTGATACTATGGCCAGGCCTTATGGGGCGCCGAACCAGTCAATATTCCCTCTGTATTTCTGTAACCCAGTTTAATTTTAATACCTTCAACTCGACTTTTTATATGGTCAACTCGACTTTTTATGTGTTCAATTTTTTATTATTTATATGGTCAATTCGACTCTTTATACGGTCAACTCGACTTTTTATATGATCAACGTGGAAATCGAATTGACCTTATAAAAAGTAAACTGGGTCATAGAAATACTGAGGGGATATTTACTGGTTCGGCGCCCTATAAATTTCGGCTATCCCTTGCACTTTTTCGGACTTTTGAACACAAATTCTGTAACAGTAACCTAGTATACCTCTACTTTGGTCATTGTAGACGAGTGATTGAAACATACGTTAAAACACTGAAGGTTAAAACTGGTAAGCGCAACCTTCGTGCCTTTTGTAACCATCTTGATGCATAAAAATTTGCTTAAGGAACAAAAACAACAACCAAACATAATGGAATGTACGCATCACTAATAAAACTTTCTTCACCCATGTAGCTAACTTGTATATGTCGCAATAACATCATCTCTGGAGGGCACAAGTTTAATCCCACTCGAGGCCTAAGTGAAATTTTTCACACCTCTTTTCTGCAAAATCTTTATATTTCTGCAAATACAGTTGATATGTGTGAAGATCGATTCTTTACTAAACAACTACTCATCAAAGAGTAGGCGGCGAAGCGGCGAGGTAAATTACTACTGCTACCCACCGACACTGAGGTGAATAGTTGTTTTGGGATATACTAAAACAGTGAGATGGTATAGTATATTTATTCCAGCAACGATTACAATATTTTCGGGCACAAATCCGGCGCGTTGCTCGGAGGTGAATAGCAAAGTATATTCAGAGTTTGGTTAGCCAATCAGAGCGAGGCTTCAACACTATCCACCGTTTTAATATATACCGGTAATAATTTAAATTTCACAAACCTTTTGTATTGACCTCATCGCTTGGCACTGAATTGATGATGCACAACTCATTGCTTGCCCATTTACAACCTACAGCCGTACAAATAGCAACCATTGCTGAGTAATTCCTGTGTGGTTGAAGACCGTTCAATTTTACTTCCAGTGTATCCGAGCCATTGGATCCTTCCTGTAACTCCTTCAGAGATGTTTTGACTCTTTCAGTAGTGTTACCATAAGAAACCAAAAACTCACGAGGTATACCATTCCAAGTGTTGACCGGCGGGACCTGTGTAAAAAGCAAAGTTAAAATGATAAACAAAATTAGGATAAGCAGGTTCATGTAGTAAAGTACAGTCGAATCTGTATTATTCCCCACAGGGTATAGCGGTATGAAAACTAAATACATCTATGAACTTCGTAATATAGAGTCTCTGTGGCTCAGTGGTAGAGCATCGGAGCGCGGAACCTGAAAGGTTCGATCCCTCTTGGGGACTCAGAATATTTTCTTTGTCCTACGCTCGTGACAAGACGAAACACCTTTATCTATAACTATACTGTACTGCTAATTCTCTCTACGCATCAGATCTCTGAAGATAAAGATTTCACGAAGGAAGAGGATCAAAAATGAGGAACTTGGCGATATGGGTCTGTCAACAACATGAAAGTAAGGGTGATGAAAACTGAAAACCCTGTTGAGGATAAAGGTACTAGATTGCCAACAGTCCCTACGTTATTCCCATGATCTATACAATCAAGTCAACTTTGCAAGATAAACAATAAAGAAAACGTTCTAGCTTCTTGTTTTTCGCCAATTTCTTATGACCTGTGCAACAAAATATACTGGATTGGAGGGACTGCTAAAAGTCGATCCAAAATGAGCATTCACACGAATTATATTTGACTCTTATTTTGTGTAGAAGACACAGTAGCCAGAGAATGGGTTATAACCATTTCACTTCCGGCAGTGACCAAGATATACTTTCTTCTTACAAAATCAATAGAATATCAAGCAGACAAGTGAAATGAAAATTGAAAAATATCAATTAGGGGATTATCATCTGATCCACTACCAAATTCTCCATACGAAAATCGCAAGCAATGTACAGCAGACAGTATGGAGAATCACTAAAGAGATCTTGGCAGTGGAAGGGTTAATGAGGCATTGTTCTATTGTGATCTGTTCTGTGTCTTCTACAACATTAAGGAACCTTAAATTCTAATTCTAACATCCATAACCTGTGAAGCTGTTTAATATGTAAAACAGAACAAAGTTAATTAAATTCAGTAGCTTTAATTTAACCTTTTACTTTCCAAAAAGTTCTCCTGACCAATTTTTTAAACAGATTACAGAAAGAAAAAATAGTTGTTTACCTTAAACTCAATAGTCACACTATGTGACAACCTATTGTTTGCCTGACACCTCGTTGGAGCCTCACTAGGAACTACAACATAAGCAAACATTATGATAGTGTTGGAAAAAAACTATTTAGTCAAAACATTTCCTGTTCAGCATATGCACATGCATGTAGTTAGCATACAATGTTTCACTGTAAACATCTATAATGCTTGTTGGGCTATTAGTAATAGTAAGTGTTTCAGTAAGAAACTCAATGTCATCTGCTAAACTAACCAAATTCACTACTGAAACCATTATTGCATTTTTGTCCCTCAGGTTTACATGGGTTTTAATAAAAGTCAGTTGCCAGAAATCAACCACCACCTCAACTTCCACCATCAACAGCTACTTAGTTGAGGTGGTAAAAGCAATTGAAATGCCTGATTTACCCCCCCCCCCCCCCCCCCCCCATTCCAGCTCAGGCTGATAATTAGTAGTAGATTTATTGGCCACTGTAAGGAGTTTCTAAGGCTCACATTTGGAGCATCAGCCCTTTTATGTAATACTTTGAATGTCAGCTTTAGAAATTCTTTAATCAACTTAGTTGATAAAACCAAATTATCTTTTTATTCCACCCCATCGATGCAGCACCCCAGTTTCTTTAGAAACTTACTCCCTTTATTCAGGCTGGTAATAGCTTGTTTTAACTTTGAACTCTTATTGTCTCCTTATACTGGTAAGCCGGTAAGACTATTGTTTACCATTCTTCTGATTGTCTGTTGTGATTATGTTCCTTTTGGTATAACAAAACTTGATGGAAAAACATTTTAACTCTTTAACTCCCAGATCAAATTTGTAATTCTCCTTACTGTCAACCATATAATTCTTAGGATGTTGGTTCAGAGAATTCAGTGTTGGATCAACTAATTATTCCCAAATTGATATTTTTCTTTATTCTCATCACTCATCTGGTTAATATGCTATTGATATTGTAAGGAGAAATTCACAAGTTTCACAATCAAGAACCAGAAAAGAGTCAAATTTCAATGTATAAAAAATAAATGTATATTTGGAATTAAATAAAAAATACACACACAATCCTTCCTTACTTCCTTCTTTGGACTTCACTTGAGCAATCACAGGAGGACCTTTTGTGTCCGGATCAGCTGCCATGCTGCAGGTTATTTGGAAACTATATCTTGCAAAGTGTACAGCATTGTCACTGAAGGAAGTGTTATCTCTAACTACTTTAGAGTATCTGGTTCCCTTTCAAAACAAAATTACACAGTCAAACTAATGCAGCTATAGTTAACCAATGTCATATAAAAATCAATATAAATAATAACTCAAGATCATATTCAATGAGTTTAAGATTTGAATTTACTTTCCTGCACTATATATACACTATATATACTTAAACAGTGGAAGGCACACTCTGATTGGTTACTCAAACTCCAAAGATCCTTCACCATTCACCCCTCAAGTAACTCACAAGGGATTTGTGTTAATGCTCCTCAAAAGGTTGATTCAAATCATGATGGGAGAGCAATTTGCTGTTAATTCTACTAAGGAGGAAAACTATTATAGCTCTGAAAAGCCAATATTTCTTTTAAATTTGATGGTAAGTTGTTTGTAAATGTTCCTCAAAGCTTGCTGGTTTCCTCTAGCTTTGGTCTAAGAAAACTGCTAGTTTCTCAGATAAATATCAGAGCTTGTAATCCATCAAATACTTTTGCTCACATGTGATTGGTCTAGATGCATCTTGTCACCAAATGTGCCCCAGCTAAAACTGGGGAATATCCAAGAATAAATTCAATGTGATATTCTTCAATTTTCAAACCTCATTTTCACCATGACATAAGTCTTTGTTTGAAATTTCATTCAAGATAAGCGTGTTTTGTGCTTGTTTCAGAAGAAGGGACATGATTTTCTTGTTCATAAAAAAGTTCATTTTACAGTTGTATGCTTGGTTGCCAAGTGTTTGAATAGGAGTGAGGCTAGGGGTGACCTTGTTGTGATATACATATGCTTTTATATATATGCTTTTCAAATGTAGATGACTTTTTTTTTATCATACTAACTAGATACTGTTCTCTATCACAACATGGTCAACTTCAGCCTCACTCCAAATCAAAGGCTTGGCAACTAAGTACACAACTGTAAAATGGCCCATTGTACCAGAGAACACTGAAAAGAGATTTATCACATGCATTTAACAGTAACCAGTTGGAGAGTATTTTTTCCCAGGTGTTGCAAAAATATTTGAGGGATAATAAACACAGAAGACTTCATTTGGGGTGAAATATCGTTGTTTATTGTTTTTTTAGAGGGCACGGTAACGAATCTTGCAATCTGATTGGTT